AGTTCAGACCGCAGATGTCTGAACATCTGTCTAAAAGCCCCAGGCAGATGGTCAGTATCAATATACAGTATCACATCTGTGGCTGTAATTGGGTAAAATGAAGTACTTGTCTCAGAAGGTACAGATCCCACCATGGAGAGCCACTCCACTTTCAGAATTTGGTTTCTATACTATCTCTGAATTCTGGAAATTAAAACCAACAAGCAACTAATCATGTTTCTTGCCCTTTATTGCTTTTCTAGCAGTTCTGTATCATGGAATGTATTATGTTCCTAGGTCAGTGTGCTAATACCTGGCTAACTCACATTTCGACATGATCAGAACTGTACTCTAGATACATTAATCATATAGTTGGAATGAAGAAACGGGTAGCAAGGAGATCAGGCTTCTATAGAGGGCTGGGAATGAAGCACGGAAGGCATGAACAAAGGTGTGGCCATGGAGATGTAAAGGAACAGAATTAGGTAGGAGAGGCTGCAAAAACAGAACGTGATAGGATACAGCAAGTGATTGGGCTCTGGAGCTAAGGAAGGAGAGAAAGTCCATGGTTTTGAGTCTGTGAGGCAGCACTAAGAAAAGTAGGTGAATAAGAGAAAGAGCTGGGGGGAGGGTGGAGAGGAATGTGAGATTCTGAACATATAGGATCTAAGGTCTCAGTCGCTGGCTGTAAAGACTGGTTAGGAGGTCAAGGAAAACATCACAGTTAGGGATCTCAGTGCAGTGGCTCCTGGACAGAGATGAGAGTGAAAGTGGCAGGAGTGGGTGAGCTCACCATGAGGAGGATGCAGAGAAAAAGAAACAGACCAAAGACTGAACCCTGGCGAAAAACCAAAACAAAACAACCAAGGGAGTGCAGTCAGATGGCAGACAAAGAGTAGATGGTTCAAAGAGGGCATGATTGACAGGTCATAGGCTGCCAAGACGTCAAGGAAGTTAAGGACTGGGAAAGGGCCACTGGTTTGGCCCGATGACAAATAGATCATGGTGGCCCACATGTACAGATGCCCGAAACCAAATGCAGTGGACAGGTGGCCAGAAAGCAGGGCCCACGAGACGTTCAAGGACTGGGAGAGAGAGAACGACTTCCACAGCTCAGCAGCTACAATGGTTGATGGGTGTGGGGATTTTGTTTAGTTTGGGAAAATATGAGTATGCTGTAGGAGGAAGAGTACCTAAGGAAAGAACAAGCCAGGCCTGGAGAAGGATGGAGGGAGGAGATGAGGTCAGGGAACCAGAGGGGAAAAGGATCAGGCATTTCTTCCTCCGGGATGGGAGAGAAGCAGGGAGGCACGAAGCTAGGGAAAAATTGAAGGTGAAAACAGTGAAAGTATAGGATGCTGCTCCAAAGGCTCTGTATACATGATTAATTTTCTTTTTAACCCAAAATGCTTTTCTCAATGAAATTTATGTAATCCAGTTGGGGCAAAGGGGGTTTCCAAATCTGACTAACCAGCAACACTAATTGGGAAACTTAAAAAAATACAGATTCCTAGGCCTCAACCCAGCCCCACTGAATAAGAATTTCTGGCGGAGGGAGCCCAGGAACCTGAATTTTAAAGCCTCCTCAGTGATTCTGATGGTTAGCTGGGTTTGAGACCTCCTAGTATGTTTTCAACCAAAGACGTGTATCAAAATCACGGGAGCGGGCAGACGTTGACTCTGCAGAGCACAGCTATTAATATTTTTAAAAGCTCCCCAGGTGATCTGACGTGCACCCTGGTTAAGAAACACGGTCAAGAAATGGGATTGAAAAAGCCACCTGGTTGGAAAGGATGCTGAAGTCGCCATACAGACTGGTTCTCTGTTGTTGATATCACCTGGCAATTTCCTTTGGACATTTTTCCTATCAAAACAGCACCTGCTCCTAGCCTGGCTGTCACAGGTGGACTGATATGATTCCCTGTGGCTTCTCAGTGCATTTCCACAGGCAGCCAGGCTGGTGGGGAGGTCATCTCTGCTATTTGGAGAGACACTGGAATTTTTTGAAGTCTCTTTAAGGGAAAGCATATAGAATAACATTGTTCTTTCTCTGAACTAACGACACACTGTACCTTATGAAAGAAACAGTAAGATGCAGAATGGAGACAAGGTGGTAGAAAAAGCAACGATGGTTCATGTTTCATTAATTCGAAAGAAAATCTGATCAAGCAGATTCACAATTAATTTGGTCTGAAAATTCCTTGCCCTCTTCTGTTGATTTTTCTTTTTTTTTTTTTAAGCAGCAGCAACAATACAACAACTACAGAAATGAGAACCTGACACATAATTGTTTGGCTTTGACGGAGGCTGCAAGCCCAGCTCTTTTAATGCCTCCCAGAGAAATACAACATTTTCTTTTATCCAAAATGGTGGTGTGATCCAATTCCTGCTCCAGCAGCCCCAGTACCTCATCTGTTGGAGTCTTTAAGTTTACGGCACAGACGGAAGCAGTCAGTTTCTCTCTTTTTATAGGACATTCACATTTGCATTCTCAACAGACAGTACAAGCCTCAAAGGCCATACTCCCCCCAATGTAATAATCCTACACTTGAAATACGAACGATATAATAGCAGCATGAAAATATTCTTACCCCGATGAAGGCTGGCTCCAGCTGTGGCTTAGTAAGTCAAAAACTAGTAAACTTGCTTGTAATAACATCCTAAAAATTCCAAAGGTTATTTTCCCTCATCCACAGTTAAAAAGCCATCTCCTACAGAACACTGTCACATCTGTGACGTGTCCAGGATTAAGGCAAGAGGGTTCTTGCTTATAGTAATTTGTCTGGTTAGAGATTAAAGAAAAAAACCTGTCTTGAGCTGTCAGTTAATATTTTTTCACTTAAAAAAAAAATCCATCTTCATGCTTCACAGCAGAACTGTGTGATTTTTAAACAGAGGTAAATTCTCCTATCTGGCATCTGATAGGTTTTTGCATGTCAGCGCAAGGCAAGCAAACAAAACACGACCCGCGAAGTTTCAAATGCATCTTAGTAACATAAACGGAAATGAGCTAGCTTTCTTTGATATCGAATTACCGAAGCATCTCACTGAAAAAACAAAATCCTCCTTGCAATTAATAAAGAATTGGGGTATTCTAACCAAGTTGAAAGCTAAGAACCTTCAAATTCCAAATCTTTCCATTCCTGGATGAGCTTTGGTATTCAGATGTTAATAGGATGCCTTTTTTTTTTTGGCCAATGTTCAGGCCAAAGAGTCTGTGAAATAGACTTTTTCCATCCTATGACCTGTTTTAGAATTTCTTTCTTGCAGAATGTTAGTTATTTTACTTGGCGGATTGCCCGAATTCATTCTTACTTTCTCTCTTTCTCCTCCTATTACTTTACCTCCTCTCCCTTCTCTTTTCTCTCCCTTCTTCACCCTGTCTCTCTTCTATCCTTTGATAAATTATGGATTTAAATGAAAGTCCACTTGGCCCTACAGTCTATGTGAGATTTGGCAGGGTTGCTGGAGTTAGCAAATAAAAATAAAGAATCCTGGGGCTCCCTGGTGGCGCAGTGGTTAAGAACCTGCCTGCCAGTGCAGGGGACACAGGTTCAAGCCTTGGTCTGGGAAGATCCCACATGCCGCGGAGCAACTAAGCCCATGTGCCACAACTACTGAGCCTGCACTCTAGAGCCCACAAGCCACAGCTACTGAAGCCCACGTGCCTAGAGCCCGTGCTCCGCAACAAGAGGAGCCACCACAGTGAGAAGCCCATGCACCGCGACAAAGAGTAGCCCCCGCTCGCTGCAACTAGAGAAAGCCTGCACGCAGCAACGAAGACCCAACACAGTCAAAAATAAAAAAATTAATTAATTAATAATAATTTTAAAACAATACAGGATCACCAGTGAAATTCAAATTTCTGGTAAAAAAACGTTTTTTTTAGTGTATGTCCCAAATACTGCGTGAGACATACTTACACTCAAAAACTATTCCTTGTTCATCTGAAATTCAAATGGAACTGGGTGTCTGGTATTTAATCTGGCAGTCCTAGTTTGGAGGTTAAACAGAGGGACATGAAACAACAAAGACATCTATTTACAACAACTGGAAGAAGAGACATTTCCATTCCCGTCCTCCTGAATGCTTTTGGTCTAGGTGTAACATTTTCTGAGGCATTACTTCAATTTATTTTTGATCAATCAAGTTTTACTAAAAGCTCCACAGAGGATATCACATCTCGATACTGAAGAAGTCCAGCCAGGGTTTCAGGGCTAACCCAGCACCACCCGAATCCAGAACTTGCAAAATCGGTCCCTCAGGAAACATGCAATTTTAGTCCAAGCAACAAAAACCGTACAAATATTCAAGTTTTAATGGCTCACTTTTCTTCAAAATTTGAACCTCCAATTTAGTACTTGCAAAGGCACTGACCCTCTGCCGTTCTTACTCTGAGGCTGTGCGGCACGATTGGTAACAGTATTATTAGAAAAAGCAACAGAATTCAAATGTGCTTCAAAATGTAATGAAACGATCACCTCTTGGACATTTTAAGGGGAAGGTAAAAATAATGATATGCTACAGACATTTATAGATAAGATTAAAATCTTAATTATGCTAATCTTTTTTTTTTTTTCCGGTACGCGGGCCTCTCACTGCTGTGGCCTCTCCCGTTGCGGAGCACAGGCTCCGGACGCGCAGGCTCAGCGGCCATGGCTCACGGGCCCAGCCGCTCCACGGCACGTGGGATCTTCCTGGACCGGGGCACGAACCCGTGTCCCCTGCATTGGCAGGTGGACTCTCAACCACTGCGCCACCAGGGAAGCCCTATGCTAATTATTAATTCAAGTGTATTTTTCAACATCTTGAGTATACCCAGGGGTATCACACAATTCAGAAATGCTGTTCTCTTGTTCAGAGACACAATAATATACGGTATTTGGAAGTAATTTGAAGTCTAATAGCTGAAATGAAGGCTGTATAGAAGCGTAGTTAAAAGCATGGGCTCAGGAGGCAAAATGAGTTCAAATCCCAGCTCTGTCACACACTAGCTGTGTGACTCTGGGCCAGTTACTTACCCTCTCAGTGCATCATTTCCCTTATCAGTAAATGGGGATAACCATCCCAGAGAGCTGTGAGAATAATATGAGTAAAATGCTTAGAATAGTGCCTAGCACATAATAAATGCTCAGTACATTTAAGGAGCGAGAGTCATACGACCTAGTCAAAACTGTCAATAGGAAAACAAAACTCACAAAATTAGAGAATGTCTCCATTTTTACAACTGGCTCATGAGAAAGAAGAGTTTTTTTCTTGTGGTCAAATGGATAATATCTATTTTTTTCAAAATTAAAAACAATGATATTTTACGTATTTAACCATTAAAAAATCCTCTGTTTTCAGAGTAATCTGCTTCTGGGGTTGAGTGAAAGTACATCATCCTGTTTCAAGAAGTGAGGCTATACGATTACCAGTTCCATCCAACTAGTGCTTGTTTTTCTTGTCTCACTCTGCTTATTATTTTCCTTACTTGCCAAAACTCCAAAAGCAAATTAATACTACTCTCTCCCCCATCCCTACAAGCCAATTCATCTAACTCAATCCTCTAGCTTTAGTGTTAAACAGACTTTCAAATGAAACAGTCTCCAGTCGCTGGGTTTCCTGCCATCTGGTCACTCGTAACTTTGTCTGTGTTTTGAGCCCAGCACTGCTTAGATCCACACGATGGTGCGGTGTACGTGTCTGCAGTTTAAGGTGGCATCAAAGAAAGGGGGCTTTCAAGTCAGACAACTGCAGGGGAATATCCTGGCTGGGCCACACCACCTGTGTAAGCTCTTGTAGCCTCGGTTTCTTTATCTATAAAAAGGGAGGTTCTAATGCTGTCGACGTCTCCCAGTTGCTATGAGGATTCAAAGAATTGATTCATCTGCAGGGTGATCCTGTGTTCCGTTTACACCGGCTGTCCCTGCATCACTGTTATATTATACAGCTCTCCTATTTTTAGAAAGCATTTAGTACACAGTCTGGCTTATAGTTAGTATTTGCTACCTCTTCATCGTGATATACTGACACTGGTACTATTTGAAAGAAACGCTTTAAGTCCCACGGAGCCCTCATTTTTCAAGCAGGAATGGCCTGCTTAACACAGATGGGTGAGTGCGCGCGTGTGTGTGAATGCTTGGTCATCTGCCCGTTATCCCTACAGTCCCTGTCCCTTTGTATATTTCAGTCACTTAAGAAGCTCAGAGTGGAGATGGAATTCTCTGTGGCAGAGCCCTGAGGGCAGAGGCTTAAATATTTTACATGTTTTTGTGGGGATCATGTGAGCACTGCTTTACCGAAATACACTCTGCCAACAGCAGAAGGCCCTTTGAGGTGAGCAGGTGGGCCGGGGCCGGGGAGCTGTTCTTCGACTTCTGCCAGCTACTCGGACTGTCAGATGAATTCCAGACTCCAGCCTTTACTACTTCCAAGACCTCCATCACCGGGCAGATAATACCACCCTGACTCATCGCCTGTAACCAGGCTTCCTCCTGTCTCCTTCCGCAAGCTTCCTCACAGGCTCTGTGGGCTGCAATGCTCTCGACACTATGGAAGGACAGCAGATATTCAGGGCTTGAAGGGAGATGCCAGCCCTCTGCTCAGAAACAGAATTTCTTCCTTAGTATCTCTTCTAGTCCGTGCGCCCTCTGCACCAGACCTAAAGCAGCGCCTCCAAGTGGCTCTGACCCCGCTGGGATCTCAGCTCTGCCACTGCTAACTGTGAGGTCTCACTCACTGACACCTCGATTGTCCCTTCTGTAATATGAGATGCAGTAATGTCACCTCACTGGGTTGTTGTGAGACTGAAATAAGACAACGTGTCCGGCAGAGTGCCTGACACAAGATAAGACATTGAATGCTTGGGGAGTAGCATTTTGGTACTAGGCTGCCTGAGAGGGGACCAGCATTAGAGGCATAGGGGTGCAAAGAGAATCTGTGATCTGGGGGTGGGAGGGACGGGGGAGAACTCAGTTTGTAAATATACAAGCTCTGCATTTTGCAGATTTATATCTAATTAAAATCCATAGAAAAGAAAGCACAAATCAAGCTAACGGTATTTCTGAAAGAAGATACACGAAATGCACAGCGGATATATTCCAGACATCTTCTGTGTTATCCTGCATTCGTTCATTTACTCATACTAATAATCTTTGACTGAATAAGTATTATGTTCTAAATGCTGGGCCAGGCTTCAACACAAGCGTGAAGCAGCTTCATGAAAGGAAACACTTGGAGGAAGCGTAATCAGCCTGTTAGCGTCAGGCACTGTTTATTGATTACGTGCTGCAATCAATACATATGGTAATAGTTATTGATTTACCACAGTCTCCCTGGGCCAGAGTGACTCAGAAAGACACTGCCATCTGCTAGTCACACTGAATACAGAGGAGCTCCAGTTTATTAGTGAATGTCTCTTTGGACTGAAAGAGCTCTTTGCAAACGTGCCAGACTCACTTTCAGATACTGTCCACCTGAATCATTAAGTGAAGGAAGCAGTTGCTTCTGTGGTCTAGTTAGGGGTTGGTGAAAACTAACCCTTCCTGCATGGCATACACCCCAAATACCTACTTCTTGAGCCTCTGAATGGGTCCTGAAATTTTCTGAGTGGTCACTCCCTTGAGCTAAAGCTTTCCTTGGCCCTAATAGAATGCCTTGGGTCCTCTGAGGGGAGTCCTACCAGGCACCCTATAAACTAGCCTGTCAGGCAGTGTGGGCCAGAGAGATGGCCCGTGGCAGATGGGAGGGGCGACAGATTCACTGGAGGCAAATCTTTGGACAAGCTTCTTATACTCTTTCAGCCCTGATTTCCTCATCTGTAAAACAGGAAATAAGAACTTCCTTTCCAGGCTATTGGGAGGACAGAAGAAATCATCTCCATCAGGTGACCAAGCTGGGGTTAGAAACACTGCAGGGCCCCTACAGGTGGTTTCCTTTTTGTTCCTGACTCCCGTGGCACAAACTATCTCGTTAGTTGGTCAGTAACCTCTACTGTGTTTCGTGAACATGGGTTGACCAAAAATGAATTTATGTAGTGTGACCTGCACTTAAAAAATATTAACAAAAAAAAGAAAATGTCAGCGTCATGGTGGGTCCTGTTTTTTGACACTGTTGTTTGAAACATACACTCTCATAGGATGTGACATATGGCTGACTGGGTAGGATATGTTTGAAAATTTGAGATGGGTATGATCTCCAAAGAATGAAAGGTGGAACTTGAAGGGATATTTGTATACTCATGTTCATAGCAGCGTAATTCACAACAGCCAAAAGGTAGAAGCAACTCAAATGTCCATTGATGGATGAATGGATAAAGAAAATGTCTATACACACAATGGAATATTATTCAGTTTTAAAAAGAAAGAAAATGCCTTTTTGAAGAGGAAGGAAATTCTGACACCTGCTACGACATGGATGAATCTTGAAAACATAATGCTAAGTGAAATAAGCCAGACACGAAAGGACAAATACTAACTGATTCCACTTATATGAGGTCCCTAGAGTAGTCAAAATTAGAGAGACAGAAAGCAGAGTAGTGGTTGCCAGGGGCTGGAGAGAGGAGGAAATGGAGAGTTACTAGCTATGGCAAGTTATTAATTTGGCCTATTAATGGGGACAGAGTTTCAGTTTGAGAAGATGAAGAGTTCTGGGAATACTTCATGGTGATGGGAGCCACAACAATGTGAATGTACTTAATGCCCCTGAACTGCACACTTAAAGATGGTTAAGACTATAAATTTTATGCTATGCATATCTTATCACAATTAAAATTAAAACCCTTTAAATTACCCCAAAAAAGCTTGAGAAATGCTGACCTAGATGACACCTTGAGGAGAGGTATGTTTGGATGGAGTCCAGGCGTAGAGGAAAGAGAAAGCATCAGTCTAGGGGACCAAAACAAGAGAGGGGAACAGAACAAGAGGGGGGAACAGACTTCCTAGTTTTGCTGAAGAATTTTCTTCTATGACCTCTGGGACCATGGGCCTTCCAGTCTGGTGTACGAACATGAAAGATAAGGTTTGCAGTCTTGTTCTGTGATGGCATAATTTCCAATCTACATTCCTGGATCTGTTTGCTGTTTTAATCTGATGGTATAACCAACACAACAGCAACATCTAATTTCCTTTTCAGGTAAAACTGACAGCCTTCTCACCTCTCTTTTCCTTCAGCAATGGTGCCCAGCCCCAGCTGGACTTGTTGGTCTTTGAAGGCTGGGTCAAGGCCTTCCCTCCTTATCCACTGGGCAAGCCATACCTCTCAAAGGCCTTCGGTCTAATTTATTCATCTACATAACAAGGGGGTCCAAGGAGCCCTAGAGACCCTTCCTACGTTATTTTTTTTGCTGTACGCGGGCCTCTCACTGCTGTGGCCTCTCCCGTTGCGGAGCACAGGCTCCGGACACGCAGGCCCGGAGGCCGTGGCTCACGGGCCCAGCCACTCCGCAGCATGTGGGATCTTCCCGGACCGGGGCATGAACCCGTGTCCCCTGCATCGGCAGGCGGACTCCCAACCACTTGCGCCACCAGGGAAGACCCCTACGTTATTTTTTATCCTTAGTGTCTAAGCGTTGGCGAAATGGGATCTGGCCAATTTTCTCTAGGCAAAGTGTCTATACTAGATTTCTCATTTTCCTAGCAGACAGGAGCCTGGCAAATTACTTAAACAGATACGGAAAGGAAGTCTCTGGGGAAGGTACCTCGTGGGCTAAAAGAACAGTCACAGTTCATCATTTTAGACACGCATTGCTATGGCCAAAATAAATATCAGGAAGGTTTTAAACTTCTCTGAAAAAAAAAAACATCTTTTGGTAACAGTTCTCAAATCGACTTTGATCTCTCAAATTCCAAAACCTATTATATGATCAGTTTGTATAATCTTATTATTAAAAGCACATGCGTAAGTGATAGATTTCTTTATATGTTTAGCACATAATTGTTCCTCTGTATATTTTCCCTCCATATTTAACATTTTCTAAGGTAATTCTACAATGGGCATAAGATATTTTTAATAAATAACTATGGACTGAATGTTTGTGTTCCCCTCCCCCCAAATTTATATGTTGAAATTCTAACCCCCATTGTGATGGTATTAG